TTAGTTTTATTAATCTTTACTATTATTTCTTTCATTTCTTTTTCATGTATTTCTGCTCTGATCTTTATGATTTCTTTCCTTCTACTAATCTGGGGGTTTTCTTGTTCTTCTTTTTCCAGGTGTTTTAGGTGTAAAGTTAGGTTGTCTATTCGATGTTTTTATTGTTCCTTGAGATGAGAATATATTGCTATAAACTTCCCTCTTAGAACTGCTTTTACTGCATCCCATAGGTTTTAATCTGTTGTGTTTTCATTGTCATTTGTTTCCAGAATTTTATTTCCCTTTTGATTTCTTCAGTAACCTGTTGGTTATTTAGAAACGTACTGTTTAATCTCCATGTGTTTGTGTTTCTTAGAGTTTTTTTTTTTTCTCTTGTAATGATAGTCTCATAGCATTGTGGTCAGAGAAAATGCTTGATACAATTTCAATTTTCTTAAATTTACTGAGGTTTGATTTGTGACGTGAGATGTGGTCTATCATGGAGAATGTTCCATGTGCACTTGAGAAGGTGTATTCTTCTGCATTTGGATGGCATGTCCTGAAGATATCAAGAAGATCCATCTCATCTAATGTATCATTTAAGACTTGTGTTTCCTTATTAATTTTCTGTTTTGATGATCTGTCCATTGATGTGAGTGGGGGGTTAAAGTCTCCTACTATGATTGTATTACTATCAATTTTTCCTATTATGTCTGTTAGTATTTGTCTTACGTATTGAGGTGCTCCCATGTTGGGTGCACAGATATTTACAATTGTTATGTTTTCTTCTTGGATTGATCCCTTGATCATTATGTAGTAACCTTCCTTATCTCTTGTAATCTTCCTTATTTTAAGGTCTACTTTGTCTGATATGAGGGTTGCTACTTCAGCTTTCTTTTGCTTCTCACTTGCATGGAACATATTCTTCCATCCTCTCACTTTCAGTCTATATGTGTCTTTACGGCTGAAGTGGGTTTCTTGTAGACAGCATATATATGGGTCTCATTTTTGTATCCATTCAGCCAGTCTGTGTCTTTTGGTTGGAACATTTAATCCATTTACATTTAAAGTAATTATTGATATATATGTTCCTATTGCCATATTCTTAACTGTTTGGGGTTGATTTTACAGATCTATTTTCCTCTCTTGTATTTCTTGATTGTATTAGTCCCTTTAACATTTGTTGTAAAGCTGGTTTGGTGGTACTGAATTCTCTTAACTTTTGCTTGTCTGAAAAGCTTTTGATTTCTCCATCAGTTTTGAATGAGATCCCTGCTGGATACAGTAATCTTGCCTGTAGATTTTCCCCTCTCAGTATTTTAAACATATCTTGCCATTCCCGTCTGGCCTGCAGAATTTCTGCTGAAAGATCAGCTGTTAAGCGTATGGGGTTTCCCTCATACATTTCTTGCTTCTCCTCTCTCACTGCTTTTAATATTCTTTGTGTTTACTCTTTGTTAGTTTGATTAATAGGTGTTTGGGCATGTTTCTCCTTGGATTAGTCCTGTATGGGACTCTTTGTGCCTCTTGGACTTGATTGACTGTTTCCTTTTCCATGATCAGGAAATTTTCAACTATAATCTCTTCAAAAAAATTTTTCATACCCTTTCTCTCTTCTTTTTCTGGGACCCCTATAATTTGAATGTTGGTGCATTTGATATTGTCTCAAAGGTCGCTGAGACTATCCTCAGTTCTTTTCATTGTTTTTACTTTATTCTGCTCTTCAGAAGTTATTTCCATTATTTTATCTTCCAGCTCACAGGTTCATTCTTCTGCTTCAGATATTGATTCCTTCTAGAGTATTTTTAATTTCAGTATCTGTGTTTGTCTCTGTATGTTTATTCTTCAATTCTTTTAGGTCTTTGTTAATTGATTCTTGCATTTTCTCCGTTTTCAAGGCTTTTAATCATCTTTACTATCATTATTCTGAATTCTTTCTCAGGTAGTTTGCCTATTTCCTCTTCATTGATTTGAACTTCTGTTTTTTCTAGTTTGTTCCTTCATTTGTGTAGTATTTCTCTCTGCCTTTCATTTTTTTTAACTTACTGTGTTTGAGGTTTCTTATCCCAGACTTCAAGGTTGAATTCTTTCTTCCTTTTGTTTTCTGTTTAACTTATATGCAGAATACATAATGAGAAATGCTGGACTAGAAGAAGCACAAGCTGGAATCAAGATTTCTGGGAGAAGTATCAATTATCTCAGATATGCAAATGATACCACCCTTATGGCAGAAAGTGAAGAAGAACTAAAAAGCCTCTTGATGAAAGAAGAGAGTGAAAAAGTTGGCTTAAAGCTCAACATTCGGAAAACTAAGATCATGGCATCTGGTCCCATCACTTCATGGGAAATATATGGGGAGACAGTGGAAACAGTGTCAGATTTTATTTTTGCAGGCTCAAAAATCACTGTAGATGGTGATTGCAGCCATGAAATTAAAAGACGTTTACTCCTTGGAAGGAAAGTTATGACCAACATAGAGAGCATATTAAAAAGCAGAGACAGTACTTTGCCAAGAAATGTCCGTCTAGCCAAGGCTATGGTTTTTCCAGCGGTCATGTATGGATGTGAGTTGGACTGTGAAGAAAGCTGAATGCCGAAAAATTGATGCTTTTGAACTGTGGTGTTGGAGAAAACTCTTGAGAGTCCCTTGGACTACAAGGAGATCCAACCAGTCCATCCTAAAGGAGATCAGTCCTGGGTGTTCATTGGAAGGACTGATGCTGAAGCTGAAACTCCAATACTTTGGCCACCTCATGCGAAGAGTTGACTCATTGGAAAAGTCCCTGATGCTGGGAGGGATTGGGGGCAGGAGGAGAAGGGGATGACGGAGGATGAGATGGCTGGATGGCAACACCGACTCGATGGACATGAGTTTGAGTAAACTCCGGGAGTTGGTGATGGACAGAGAGGCCTGGCATGCTATGATTCATGGGGTCGCAAAGAGTCGGATATGACTGAGCGACTGAACTGAACTGAACTGAAGATTGGTCTGGTGGTTTGTGTAAGCTTTGTATAGGGTGAGATTTGTGCTGAGTTTTTGTTTTTTCTCTGATGGGCAAGGATGAATGAGGTGGTAATCCTGTCTGCTGATGATTGGGTTTGTATGTTTGTTTTGTTTGTTTTTTAGACGAGGCATCCTGCACACGGTGCTACTGGTGGTTGGGTGATGCTGGGTCTTTTATTCAAGTGGTTTCCTTTGTGTGAGTTCTCACTATTTGATACTCCCTAGGATTAGTTCTCCAGTCATCGAGGGTCTTGGAGTCAGTGCACCCACTCCAAAGGCTCAGGGCTTGATCTCGAGTTTTGCATGGGTCTATATATTCTTTTCCACTCATCATGTATTCCTGTCCACACTCAGGTGGTGTTCCGCATGCACTTCTGTGTCTGAAGGTGTATTCCTGATGTATCCATGGAGAGACATTTGCTCCAGGTCCACCTACTCCTCCACCATCTTGTTCTCCACTACTAGTACTTCTAAAACTACAGAAGATGAGCCCCCACCTTTACTAGGTCCTCAACTTCCCACTTCTCTGCCATGATTGCCCAATAAACAACCTCCTGAAAGAGGGGCCAGGCTTCTACCAGTTGCACCTTCTGCAGCCCCAAGCCTGGCCTTCCTAGATCCCCAGCAGGCAGTATTACTGGGGCTGGACAACTTTGAAATCAACACTCTACTCTCCTTACAAGGCACTGCAGTATCTCAATGGTCAATGCCCTCTAAGAGTTGGCACTCCACCCCACATACCTGTCCCCACTCTCTGACACAATGGTCAAACCACATTTTCATCAAGGACTCCATCTCCCAGGTCCACTGAGCCACCTGTGAGCTGACAGATTCTCTGGTCTCCCCAGTTGTGTGAGGCAGACTTCACCTACCCTGCTGTCTGCTGCCCACAGTGTCCTTTGGTACAACACAGCCTTTAAACAAGAGCCACACCACCCAACTCTAAACCACCTAACCCACCCACTTTATCCCCAACACAAGGACTCAACTCAACTCAACTCACCACTTCTCCACCCCTTTCATAGCACTTGCATCTTCCATCCCTCCTTCCCTCTCACACTCACAGGCCACCCATGTCCCTATGGCAGCACTAAGGGACCACTGAGAGCACAAGCCACCCAAGTGGGTCTGCAGCAGACCTTGAGCAGGCTCAGCCAGAATAGATAGGCTGATGGCACTGTGTCCCCAGGTTGGAACTATCTCTCTGGGGGATCTTGACCCAGGACCTTCAGGGTCATGAAGGTCACTGACCTCACTGCTTTCTGTCTCTGGTTTTCTATTGCACACCCACTCCTACACCTTCTGCCAATGCCAGGCTACCAGGATCCCCCTTCAAGCAGGAAACCACCCCCACATCCAGAGATAGAAATCAGCATGGATGGTGCATGGAGTCTCTGCAATTCAATGATGAAGCTGGAGCTCCTCATCACAGAGAGCTCTGGCCTGGGTGACCCAGCCTACAGGGAAGGAGGCAGTCCAGGGAAGGGTGTACTCTTGGTAGCTCCAGTCCAGATGCAGGGCCATGGGTTCTGTTTCATAGGAAGGGGAGAGGTGATGATCCCTTCTTAGGAAAGCATTTATCAGATGTGAATTGGGCAATTGAACAATTACTTGCTGAGCACCTGTAAAATGTCTTGTTATCCAGGCTCTGGTCCAAGTTTACTTCCTCCAAACCACATTTCTTGAGTTTGTAGGATATTCCTTTGGCCAAGGTTCACTTTCAGCATTTATGTCATTTACTGAGCACCAATAATATCCTAATATGGTATAAAATGTCTTTTCCTTCTACAACACTATGTTTTAATCCATTAAAAGGAAAATAGTTAATCCCTGGAGGTCCAGTCCTTTAAGTATCTGTCCATTTTAAAGATAAACACAACAGCTGGGTTACATCATGATTTCTAGACATTTTATCCTCTAATCTTAAACTACTGGCCTCTCTCCCCACAGGTCCCGTCCATCTCAGTACTGACCTGCATATAGTAAAAAGCAATGCATGGTATATAAAAGCTTTTACCTCAAGAAGTATAAAAATTCCCAAAACTAAATAGGATTTCCAGTGACACTTTATGATTCCTTTTGTTAAAGAAGGCTCCCGTGCATCTTTCTCAGCTCTCAAAACTTCTTGATCCCAGTACCTGTGATGAGAAACAAAGTACAGTAAAACCACTACAATATTGTAAAGTAATTAGCCTCCAACTAAAATAAATAAATTTAAAAAAAAAATAAAAAGAACGTATCCACCAGACAAAACAGGGAGGTGGCAGAGTGGAGGGTGAGCCTTTACTACAGGGCACTCTGTGTTTGCCCCATAAATGATGGCTAATTACTCACTGGGTGCATGGAAGATGAGGGGTGAAGACCCTGAAGCACCAGAAAAACAGGCCTTGAGGGAAAAGTCTCAGTCTCAGAAAACAAGTTCCTGCCAAGCCTTTGCTGGATTCACAAGGTCATGAGCAGCTCAGGAGGGCAGACACTCTCCTCCAGGGACCCCGCCTCCAGGGACAGAGTTCAGCATCCAGGGTCATGGCTGCAGGTTCTCTCCGCTTCTACAAATGCACAGAGAATACAGGCTCCCCAGCCTCCAAAGTGTGTTAAGCCCAGGGTCGGCCTGAGGGGGGTGAGTGTGCTGTGTCAGGGGAAGGAGGCTCAGGAGAACCCAGAAGAAGGCAAAGCTCACCCCAACACAACTTTAGCCACACGTGGAAATTCTCAGTCTTCCTCCCCTTCTCCCTGATGCCTGTGCTCACCTTGTAGTTCCTCTCCAAGGTGCTGGGAGTGATCTTCTGGAAGCACGGCGTACATGTCATCTTCTTCTAATCTTCGTTTGTGACCAATTTTGAACAAGGGATTTAGCCACCTGTTAAAAATTAAGAGAAATGGAGAGTCACAGATATACAAATCACACATATCTGTCTAATTCAGTCCTAATTCATGAGCTTTCTTAAGAAGAAAGAAATGGAAGAGGAAGAATCAATATAGTGAAAATGAGTATACTACCCAAAGCAATCTACAGGTTCAGCACAAACCCTATTAAACTACCAATGGTATTTTTCACAGAACTAGAACAAATCATTTCACAATATGTATGGAAACACAAAAGACCTCAAATAGCCAAATCAATCTTGAGAAAGAAGAATGGAACTGGAGGAATCAACCTGCCTGACTTCAGACTACACTACAAAGCTACAGTCATCAGGACAGTATGGTACTGGCACAAAGACAGAAATATAGATCAATGGAACCAAATAGAAAGCCCAGAGATAAATCCATGCATCTATGACAAAGGAGGCAAAAATATACAATAGAGAAAAGACAGTCTCTTCAACAAGTGGTGCTAGGAAAACCAGTAAACTACATATAAAAGAATGAAACCAGAACACTATCGAACACCATACATAAAAATAAACTCAAAATGAATTAAAGACCTAAATGCAAGACCAGAAAGTATAAAATTCTTAGAGGAAAGCACAGACAGACTCTCTTCGACATAAATCACAGCAAGATCCTCTATGACCCACCTCCCAGAATAACAAAAATAAACAAAAAGGACCTAATTAAACTTAAAAACTTTTGCACAACAAAGTAAACTTTAAGCAAGGTGAAAAGATGGCCTTCAGAATGGGATAAGATAATAGCAAACAAAACAACTGACAAAGAATTAATCTCCAAAATATACAAGCAGCTCATGCAGCTCAATATCAGAAAAACTAACAGCCCCATCAAAAAGTGAACAGAAGATCTAAACAGACATTTCTCCAAAGAAGACATACAGATGGTTAATAAACACATGAAAAGATGCTCAACATTACTCACTGTTAGAGAAAGACAAATCAAAACCACAATGAGGTATCATCTCACACTGGTCAGAATGGCCATCATCAAAAAAGTCTATGAACAATAAATGCTGGAGAGGGTATGGAGAAAAGGGAAACTTCTTACAGTGTTGGTGGGAATGCAAACTGGTACAGCCACTATTGTTGGAGAACAGTGTGGAGATTGCTATGAAAACTGGAAATAGAACTGCCATGTGAACCAGCCAATCCCACTGGTGGGCATACACCTCAAGGAAACCAGAATTGAAAGAGACACATGTACCCTACTGTTCATTGCAACACTATTTACAATAGCTAGGACATGGAAGCAACCTAGATCTCCATCAGCAGATGAATGGATAAGGAAGTTGTGCTACATATACACAGTAGAATATTACTCAGATATAAAAAGGAACACATTTAAGTCAGTTCTAATGAGGTAGATGAACCTGGAGCCTATTATACAGACTGAAATAAGTCAGAAACAGAAAGCCAAATCCTGTGTATTAACACATGTATATGGAATTTAAAAAGATGGTACCAATGATCCTACATGCTGGGCAGCAAGGGAGACACAGATGTAAAGAACAGACTTTTGGACTCGGTGTGAAAAGGCAAGGGTGGGATTATTTGAGAAAATAACATTGAAACGTGTATATTACCATATGTCAAATAGATGGCCAGTGCAAATTCGATCCATGAAACAGGGCACCCAAAGACAGTGCTCTGGGACAACCCAGAGAGATGGGGCAGGAAGAGAAGTGGGAGGTGGGTTCAGGATCAGGGGGACACACGTATACCTGTGGCCAATTCATGTTGATGTATGGCAAAAATCATTATAATATTGTAAAGTAATTATCCTAAAATAAATTAATTTAAAAAATAATTAGATATGTGTTAACACACACACACACACACACACACACACACACACGTATACACTCTAATTCTATACAATGAGAGGCCCTGGACGTAATGACATACGAGTAGCAAAAAGCATTCCAGTCCTTAGATCTTGGGGTTCTGTTTTTTTAACATACACAATTACATTTTCTTTCTTGTGGTGAGAAATTTTAAGGCCTAATCTCTTAGCAGCTTGCAAATATGCATAGAGTATTATTAACTATAGTCGCCACACCAGACATTACATCCCCATAGCTTATTTTTTTTATAACTGGAAGTTTGTGCCTTTTGGCCCCCTTCACCCAGATCTTAACTTTTTTATACCCTTCTTCCCTAAAAGGAACCAAGGCTCTTCATTGAAGAAATGGCTGTTTCCAAGGTTGGGGCAGTTTATGTAAGGATCTGATAATTAGCTTTTTTTTTATTGTAATATAAATTGCAGACATTAAACTTTGGAGACTCCCATGTCAAAGACAGCCACCTCCAATGAACACGTGCCAGCTATACAACTAGATAAAGAGCCAGGCCACCCCACCCATGAAGTACCCACTTGTAGAAAGCTCTGGTTGACCTGATAACAGACCATCTTGCTGACTGCTTGCTTCTCCCTTCTCACACTTTACTTCCCGCTCTTATATTTTAAATTCACCAATAAAGAGTGAACCTTCAAAATCCTAGACAGCCCATCCTCAACCCCAAAAAGGCAGAACCCCAAGTCCAGACTTACTCATGTGCACTCTCTTTCTACCCAGGACTTCGCTGTGTCACTCCAGGTGTGTTCGGTACCCTCCATGACATCTGAGTAAGTAATACACCTCGTCATTTCAAAGTCCCTTGATGGTTGTTGCTGACATGTGTCTCACGATCATAAGAACCACAAGAGCCAGTCAAGCCACAACATTGGCTCCAAAAGAAGGATTTCTGTGGGGGCTGCTCATAACTAGTATGAGCCCTGATGAGCAGAGCCCCAGGCATGCCCGGCAAAAGCCTCATAGTCTACAGGCTGAGACCTACAGGCAGAAAAATTCCAAGATGGGACAACTTGCACCATAAAATAAGGAAGCCCTGAAAGAACCATGAGGATATGTAGGAAGGACAGAGAAGCCAGGTTGAATGATTTTTGCTAGACAAATCTGGGATACATTGAGAATCAAAACAAATAAATGGCAATGAACCACAACAGATTAAATAATAAAAGGATCCATGAATCAGTACTGCTACATAAACAAGAGAGAAAGGAATGCTCTTGCAAACAGAGGCAAACAAACATAAGGGGAGTGACGGAATCAGAAATTATCAATGGAAGTTAAAACCAGTGGGTGAAAGTTTGATGTGGAAAATGGTATCCATATACTCTCAAATTCTCTCACTGCAAATTACTTATTATAAAGGGAAAAGAACAGTTAACTATACACAGGATACCTCCCAAACCCTGTTCAAATCCATTAGGCATTATTTAAATAATAATAAAATGTAGAGATAACCCAAAGATTAACACCATTTTCCTGACCTTGCCAGAGTAAGGAAATTTTCAAGGTCAGACAATAATAACCAGTGAAAGCAGAAATCACACTTGTTTTATTCCATTATTCCAAGGACAGTGTGTGTACAGAGTTGATGCTCAAGAATTATTTATTGAATGTATGAATGTCCATGAATCATTAAAGAAGCAATAAGAGAGACTGAGCATCAGCTTTTACAAACTCTGGTAGGTTGGCATCTCCAAAGCAGCCCAATCCAGGTGTCAGAAGACTGGATCCTAATCCCAACAGTGGCACTGAGGACCCAGGGCCTCAACTGTCCCCCTCCTCCACTTCTCCACTTCAGGTCAGCATTTCAGTGACCCTTAATATGTCTTAATATGTCTCAATTTCCTTCCAAAACAAAAGTAGAAGTCTGTGAGCTTTACCACTAAACAGGTTTGAAACATGTTAAGCCATTTACTCTACAGTCATTCCCCACAGAAAACATTCAGGGAATTAGCACTGGGACGTGCCCAGATGATGACACTCCCCGCCCCCCCCCCACCTCCCATACTAGTGCAGGATGAAAAGAGTTCTGGAAATTGTTTGCAAAATTATGTGAATGTCCTTAACAACACTAAACCATATGCTTAAATATGGTCAAGATGGTAAATTTTACGTTGTGTGCAATTTTCCACAATTTAAAAAAATGTAATGAGAAAAAAATTGCTCATGATGTGCCTTAGTTGGAAATCTTCCTGTGTTAGTCTAGACTTTGTCACTTTCTTATTGTATGACCACAAACTAGCCACATAACATCTCAGTATTGGCCCATGGAAACTGAGGGGAACATGTGGAGATAACACCTCCCAAGGCTGCTGAGGAGATCACTTGAGAAGACAGTGTTGCTCTAAACAGGACAACATCTCACCAGACAAAGCAGCTGTCACCTTGACAGAGATCCTGAGTAATCCCATTGGGTCCCAGTAGAAAATCTCTGATAACTTTGTCAAATGCAGTTACAATGGCAGAGCCCAACAGGAAGAACAAAGACTCTGCTGCTTTCCTGGAAAACACTCAGTCAGTGAAAAGCCATGGACTCTTTGTTTAAGAGACCTGCCAATTTCCTTTCCCCTCTATAGTAGTGATCTCTTTCCCTGGCCTTTTGAGAACTTGCACATAGCTCTCCACAGTTGTAAACATTGAACTATAATTCTCCACTGATCCCATAAGCCTGTCCCTGCCAGAGAAATGTCTGATACCCTCTTTGTTTCATGTCAGAGAGAAAGGGGGTCAATATGATTGGGGGACCCCTGGAAGACACAGGCAACTTATTCCCTTGACACATCTGAATGGACTCTAATTGACACCTCTCAGGATGATGAGGTAGGATGATCAAGATCCAAAAAAAAATCAATAAAAAAACTACAAGAGATAAATTTTTTAGGCAGTTTTCCACAAGGACGCACCACACCTCTGGGATATTCTACATCTTGCTTGAGACTGTAGTTACTGTATGAAATTACTAAAACTCAACAAACTAAATGCTTACAGGAAAACAGGTCAAGGCCAGAAAAAGAGCCTTGCAGAGCTCACCCAGCCTCCATCTACAACATGTAGATCGCTCACTGTTAATGAGAAACAAGTGGTATTCTGAAAATGGTACAAAGAATCCTAGTTTGAAATTAAACATTTCTATGTATTCACAATCATTAGTTACTGAGGGCCTAACAGCACCAACCTCCCTAAACCATCTCAGCACTTGGCCAGTTCACATCCTCCCTCATGTCACCAGCTTCTCTGACAAGAGTCTCTGGACAGTCTGGCTTGACACTAGTGGCAGTTCCCACACCCATACTCCCTTTGCAAGGGGACACTTTACTGATTGAGATGTGGCCAGTGTCAGTGGAGCGAGGATGTAACCATTCCCTGATGGGCCAAGTGCATCTGGTCCAAGACCCTGCTCTACCCTCATTTCTGGGGACAGGTCCTGCCCTAACCCCCAACCTGCTGGCTTCTGGAATGAGGGGGGAAAGAAATGCAAAGCACATCCCCAGGGCTGCAGTGCAGGGCAGCAGGGATATTTCCAGGGGGAGTCTCAGCAGACTGGACATGGTTCAAAATTGTGCCGTTGATATCCAATAATGGGAAAAAGGAAGAATCATTCAATAAACCATGATAGGAATATGGGCTGTTTGGGAAAAGTGGGGTCTATGTTATACTAAATACTTTAAAAAAAATTCTAGTTGTCTTTATTGTTAGAAATTAAATAAGAAAAGAGAGCCAAAATAGAATGCTTCCAGAGATTTAGAGGATGCTGGGATTTTAAAAAGACATTACGAAAGCAATAGGAGAAACCAAAAAGAAAAGTTCAATATAATAATTATATTTAACTTAAAACCTCTAAAAAACAAATGAAAATCTGAAAAAGTATTATATGCACTATTGCAAATTATCCAAATATAAAAATGCCTCATGGGAAAAAATGTCTACGAAGAGACAATTCAAATAGTCAATAGACATAAAGTTCCAACTCTAAAAATCAAATAAATTCTTATTAAAACATATTGGATTTCATTGATGGTCTAGTAGTTAAGAATCCATCTGCTAATGCAGGGGACACAGGTTTGATTCCTGGTTCAGGAAGATTCCACGTGGCATGGAGCAACTAAGCCCATGAGCCAAAACTACTGAGGCCCACTCGCCCTGGAGCCTGTGCTCCATAACAAGAGAAACCATCTCAATGAGAAGCCCATGCACCACAGCTAGAGAGTAGCCGCCAGTCACCACACAACTAGAGAAAAGCACGAGAGCAGCAATGATGACCCAGCATGGACAAAAATAAATAAGTAACTGTTTGATATTTTTAACCTTAGGCCTATAAAAAATGTAATTCAGGTATTCACAAATAGCAATTAAATAAGCACACAAGCAGTTTTTAAGCAGGCAAACCTGATGGAACAGAATTCGCCTTCCACCAGTTATTCTACTTCTAAGAAACAGCCAAATTATCAGTAAGTGTACGTGGCTAATAGAAATAAACTTTTATTCATTTCTTCTTCTTCTATAGTTTTAATTTTATTACAAAAGTAGAAAAGCATATATTATCTTCTAAAACCCACAATAATTACATATAGCTATAATGCATGCCTCTCTTTGACCCTAAGTCCCATCTGTGCTGTGAAAACACTAAAACTCCAGTGAGATCATTTGTAAAAAGACAATAAGCTAGTTACTGGCATCATTTACAAGTTTAGAAAGCAGGTGAAATGTGAGAAGAAAAGCAAACACCCAATGAGAAGATGAAAACTCAGTTTTTTTCTACAGGGAGGACTTTGTCTCTTGGCAGCACTTCCTGCCTGGGCTCATGTCAGCCTCCCCAGGGCAGCGAGTGGGGAACACAAGGAAATCACGAGGGTACCTCAGACTTTATGTATAGGATGGAAATTATGGTCAACAACTAACTTCACAAAGCCTGGACCCCTTTTAAAAGTTAACATTGAAGTAATAATGCCAGTGGAAGGGGTGGCTGAAGGCAGGAGCCAGTCGCAACCTTCATCAGAATCACCTGGAGCTTAACCCCAACCCCCAGAATTTCTAACTTTACACAATTGGTTTAGAAAGAGTGTAGGGGAATTTGCATTTCTAACAAACTCCCAGGTGATGAGGATGAGCAAGCCTGAGAGCTATACTCTGACAACAGCCACCCTAAAGCTTGATTATAGAGATGTTTCACATGCATTATCGCCAACAGCAAGAACTTTAAGAACTTCCCTTGAGAGACTCCTGCCAATAAGTGTTTGGAATCGGCTTCTCTATGCATTTACAAACAAGTACACAAATAGAACATACTCGACACAGCAGTTACATACACAGGGAGCCAGACTGCCTGGTTTGGGATCCAGCTCTTTCACTTTCTAGCTGTGTGCTGGTAGACAACTCACTCAACCTCTCTGCTTCAGAAACTTCAAGTGTGAAATAAGAGGTAATAGCTTCTATCCCTCCAGCAGGAAATTTGGAAATGCGTGTCTACCAAAATCAGTGAGAAGTCCTTATCTTACCATTTCCACACACACATTTTGAAAATCCACAGACGCTTGCTCTGCTTTAAGCAGATGTTTGACAGTTTCAGTATTATTTAGAGTAACCACACCCACATTCCTTCTTCTAAGCCCCTCTTTCCTTAAGGGACACCAAATGGCCGAGATGTAACTGCACACTGAACACACCACCATCAGAACAAGCACAGACGCTCCCGTTCCCGGGGATCCCTCAGGCTGTCCTGTAAAAGAAGTATCAGACTTTGCGGAAAAGATGAATGGGTTCGGTTCCAGAAACAAAAGACCTAATAATCACCCAAGTGTGATTAAAGTCCAGGGGTTCAGACTTGCCTAGTTAGTAGGTCCCAGCTATTAGATGAAGACTTCAGGTAAGAGCTTCAGCTCTCTGCAGCGTTTTTCCTCCCAGTTCAGGGACCCTTCAGTGATTTCAGGACCAAATGATTCCTGGGCAGGACCACCTGCATCAAGACCATGCACTTCTTCTCTGAAGGCTAAATATCTGCTTAAGACCCCACAAGTTTCAGGGACCACATCCCCAGGGTTTGGTCCTCAAAGGTGGAACTCACAATAGGGAAAGGGGCTTGTCTAATACATACTCCAGTCCTGGCTCTGGGTCCCAGGCAAAAGCTAAACGTGCTCAAGAATAGTGTCCCCATTTATTACATTAAAAACAAGTGTTTTTACACACATGAAAGCTGTCACAGACAGATACCAGGAAATTCAGTGGGAGATGTACAAGGCTAGAGGGAGGGGGAGAGAGAGACACTGTCATAGACACAGTGACGAGGGAGCCTGCGGCAGGCGGAACTCAGTTGTCACCTAAGGAATATGGGGAAAGTGGGGACATTCTTGGAAGATGACAACGGTGCAGGGCACTAATTGGATAAAGGAAGCTGTTCATACACTGCGTGCTTAGGGGAAAAACAAGGGTGCCACTTTAGTTCAGAACTGCGAATTCCTGAGCAGTACTGGGGAAGCCGGCTAAGGATGGAGTGTGGGTGTGTGGTATTGGGTATGGGAAGGGGCCGGGGCGGGGGGGGGGGCGCGGGGAGTGGTCCAGTCGTTCTCCTGTTTGGCGGGAGACTCCCCTCGGGCAGCCTGGGTTCTCAGCTTCCCTTCCTCCTGCTTCACCCGCTTCCCGTCCTACTAGGGCCTAAGGAGTCTGGCGGCGGGGCAGCGAGCCACAAGTCAGGGAGCCCCGCCACGAGTTCCCTCTCCCGGGCTCTGTTCCCCTCGCCAGACGCCAGGGACCACGTGGCCCCACGGGCTACAAGAAGCCAGGTGCCCAAAACGCAGCAGAAAGCGCTCCCTCGCCCCGACCAGCCCCCTTCTCTGCCCCCAAAAGCGCCAGCGGCAGCGTCAGGCACCCGCCCCACGAAGGCGGGGGTGTCATAGCCCCGGCGGGCTCTCACCAGAAGAACAGGCGCGAGCAGAAGTTCGCGTCCTGCAGCGGGTTGGGCTTCCGCATCTTGCCGGCGGTGGCGGCCGCGGGCAGGGGTCGCGCTGCTCTGGTGATGGAGCTGCTCCTGGAGGCGCAGGCGGGGAGGCTGGAGGCTCAGACACAGCGCGGGCCTCTCTTAGGGAGACAGAACCACCTGCTTCAGGGAGTGGAGTACCGGGGGGCCGCCCTCTCCGCGCCTCTGCCTCTGGGGCCTGAGTCGGGAGCGGTGGGGGCAGCAGGACCAAGGAGCGGCAGGGAAGACTCTGCCGGGGGCCGCGCAGGTGTGAGGCGAGGTTTCAGGCGCAGTTGATGGAGCCAGTTGGGGGAACTGCGGCGCCTAAGGCACCGGGCTGCAAATTCTACCAAAGGGCGAGCTCTAAGCCCGGGCTCCCACCCAGAAGACGGAGAGGTAGGGGCGGGCTGCATCAGAAACGCTCCCTCAACTGTGGTGAAGACCAGGAGAAAGCCGGCAGGAGATAGCAGCCCGCCCTCTGGGCACTCTGCCCTCATCAAGATCAAATAAGGGCGCTACAGAAGTGTGTCCAGGTGTAATGGAGCAAGAACCCTGTGGGACCTTCCTGGGATAGATCCCACCCCACCCCATGCCCTCTGCCTGCCTCTTGTTTGTGCATGCAGTGCTCAGTTACTTAGTCCTGTCTGGCCCTTTGCGACCCCATGGACTGTAACCCACCAGACTCCTCTGTCCATGAGATTATCTAGGCAAGAATACTGGAGTGGATTGCCATTTCCTCCTCCAGGGGATCTTCCTGAACCATGGATCTAGCCCTCATCCTGCTTCTCCTTGCATTGGCAGGTGGATTCTTTACCACTGAGCCACCTGGGAAGCCCCTCTTGCTTGGAGAAAAGCTTTAATCTCCCAGGCCTCCTCTGAGCCACAGAAGGCTGGCTCAAGAATTAAAGATCGAAAGAATGTGAATGTGTAGTAACAACAAAATATTAAACAATAGATCAACCATATAGCAATCACAAAATCTTTAGTCCTTCCCTGAAGGATATAGATCATATAGATGACAGTGTCTGATGCACATTCCTGAGTTGTTCTGCAGATACTAAAACCCTCACCAGATGGAAAAAGTTAACTGTATGATGACCACAAGCAGGGAGCCGCCACACCAGCTGGAGCCTGAGGACTGAAGATGTTAAACCCGATGACACGACCCTGTTACCTCATCATCAACCAATCAGAGAATAATGCTGGAGGTGATCACCTACACTGCACTTTCTCCCTCACCTTCCCTTTAAAAACTCTCCCCTGAAATCCATCAGGGAGTTTGGGTCTTTTTGAGCATGAACTCCTTGCTTGACTCTTGAAATAAACCTTTCTTTGCTCCAAACTCCAACAGTTTGTTTGTTTGTTTGTTTGTTTGTTTTTGCCTCACTGTACCTCAGGCACAGAAAATTGGGTCAAACAAAATAACCTGTAGCCAAGCATTTGACCTCAGACAACAACAGGATTTAGCACAGGTTATGTTTGTAGAGCTGCAAGACCTAATGAAAAGTAACAAGATTAGATGAACGCAGATGATTTTGGAAGATGAATGCACGGTGTTAATGGGGACAGCTTTTTGGCATCTTACATACTGCATTGTGCAGGGAACCTCTGAGCTTGTTGCTGCCCTCTTAGTCTGGGAAAAGAAAATCTAAGGGGAGAGAGACTGTATCATGATTTCTTTCATCATGAGCTCAGGGCCAAGACAAATAACAGTGGCATATGTTACAGAACACAAGTCATGCCTATTTCTGGGGAACTTCCCTCACCTTTAACTATAACAACACCCTATTCAGCAAGGTATTATCCTTGTTTTATGGATGAGAAAGATGAGACTCAAGGACAGCACTTGTCCAGGGTCTTTGAATAAGTAAATGATGAATCCTGATTTGGACTCAAGCCCAAGTCCAGCATGACTATCTCACTGGTGGATGGACAGTGTGCATCAAAACTGCCTAGAATGTGCTGTTTGAAAGAATGAATGACTGTAGGACTGAATGAACAAAATGCTGGGGTCCCACCCATAAGTATGTAGCTATTTGTGTGGCCATCTTACCAGCTTAGCAATTTTCTTCCCTTCCACCCTAAATGAAGAAAGATAAAAATTTGTGGAGCATATTACAAGATCATGTTGCTATTCTTTGATAACTTATATGTCATCATACAGTGATAACTTTTTAATCACTTTTGGCTTCAGTTGCAAAAGACAAGTAAGTTCTGGAGAACTGGTATACAGAAATGTAGCTCCAGTTGACAATTATGTACTGTGAACTTTCAATTTTCAGAAGTTCTCAACATTAAAAACACAAAAGGAAAATGGTTAAGGTGTGAAGTGACTGTTATGTTGATTGCCTTGGCTGTGGTGAGTATTTTCTATAGTCCATGGGGTTGCAAAGAGTCGGCCGTGACTTAGCAACTGAGCATATATGTGTATCAACTCATTAGGTTGTATCTTAAATAGTTACATTTTTAATTGTCATTTATACTTCAATAAAGCTGAAGTGAAAATGATATTAAAGAAAGCCTTAATGTATTCAAATAGTTTTTATAAGTCAACTTGTAAGAATGGCAGAATGTTGATCATTTTCTATTGACGGACATTATGAGGATTTATTATACTATCTTTTCTGATATTTCATGCATGTATAAAATTTTCTGTTGCAAAAAATGAAAACAGAGCTGAAATTTGTAACAGTTACCTACTATCTGGTGTTAACTCTTTCTCAGATAATGCAATCTACAATCTACATAACCAGACCACCTGATTTACAGTCCTCTTAAATCTGTTGCTGAAGTTGGAAGCCTAGTGACTTCCATTATCAGGCTTCCCCAGACTATTCCCTCCAGTCCCCACAACTATCTCAGAACCATAATTAGCATCTCCAAACTGTCAAATACACTTAGTCCCTTCAGCTTCTTCTGTCTTTTTTGCTTTTAACTAAGATCTTTTGAAACTTCTTAGCATTCTTTTCTGAACATTAATATGATATTTAGAAGAGATGTTAAAATCCACCATTGAATTGTACAGAGAAGACTCAACATAAAGCCAGGGGACCAGAGCTTTACATGCTTCACTTATTACTTAACCTTTCTGACCTAGCCCATCTCAAGCCTAAAATGGGAAATTGTGACCCCTGGGTCGGGAAGCAACCCACTCCAGTATTCTTGCCTGGAGAATCCCATGGAGGGAGGAGCCTGGTAGGCTACTGTCCACGGGGCTGCAAAGAGTCGGACATGACTAAGCTACTTCACTATACTTCCTATAGGTTTATTGTGAGTCTCATAATTTGTGAATGCACTTTATAAAACCTAAAGCAACATACAAATAAAAAGGTTTCCATTCACTGAAGAAATGTTTAGTGAATGCCTTCTAGCTACATGACCACAAGGCTAGGCATGGAGCTTACAAACACAGAGAAGATGTATTAAAGTCTATATCTGCATGTGTTTTCTGATCTTAAATGTTCAGTACTATAACAAAAAGACAATAATAACAAGTGTTGGAGAGGATGTAGAGAAATCGGAACTCTCATACATTGCTAGTGGGAAAGTAAAGTGATATAGCCACAAAGTTACCACATAATCCAGCAATTCTACTCCTAGGTAGATAAATGAAGCACATGTCTACATGAAAACTTACATATGAATGCCATAGTGGTGCTATTCATAAAAGGAAAAAAATGAATTGGAGGCAGGGGGATCCAAGGGTACATCATCCAATAAATGGATAAATAGAACATGGTATTACAGGTTATGGAATATTATTTGGCGTTTTATAAAATACTGATGCATGCTACAACATGGATGAACACTGAATAGATTATGCTGAGTTAAGGCACCCAGCCATTGACTCTAGTGAGGAGGATGAGACAGCATCTAAGGAGAGATTCAATTTGTTGGACTCGATGATTTATTCCGAGACAAACCTCAGAGACATATGATGCAAATTTATAACTGTGTGAACTATAAATTATTAAGTGATCTACAGTATCTCTGTCAAATAGTCAAAGCATCAAGCATTAAATCTGCAGCAGGTATAAGAGCAGTACTAAAATGGTTCACCTGAGATAGTGCTGGTCTTCAAGCATTTTTCTATCAAGACAAATGGGACAAAAGGGATTCACAATTTAGATATACTCCAGCAAGTATCCATAGACTGAATATAGTGAAAATTTCATTGTCACTCCACCTTCCCATAATATATCCACCTCCGTAACCTCAGGAATGGACATCTCATTCAAATCTAGCCAATAATAGTATGCTATGTCTGAGTCCAAAGGGTTTGGCCCAGAGATAAACTTAAGGCCATGTCAGGCCAACTGGCTTTCTTCCTTGAGGATGTTTTTGTTGTTGTTCTTTTTTGTTTTTGTTTTCTTTTGTTTCTTCTAGAGTTAGAGAGGGGAAAACCCCACTTTCCTTTCTAGTGAAGGAGTTATAAGGACACAACCCGTGACTGCTGGTAGCTATATGCCCCATTTTACATGGAGAGGCCCGAAAGAATAAAAAGCTTCCCAGGTGGCACTGGTGTTAAAGAACCCACCTGTCAATGCAGGAGACATATGAGATGCAAGTTTGATCGCTGGGTCGAGCAGATCCCTTTGAGGAGGAAATGGCGGACCCACTCCAGTATTCTTGCCTGGAGAATCCCATGAACAGAGGAGCCTGGCGGGCTACAGTCCATAGGGTCACAAAGAGTTGGACATGACTAAAGTGACTTAGCATGCACTCACACACCTAAAAGAATAAAGCAGGTACCCAAAGGAAAGTCAACAGTTATTTATTAAACACCTACTGTGTGGCAAGAGCTAGGGATAGGATAAGTAAACAGGATGAGTGGTGTAAAGGAGAGTCTTGACATCAGGCTTCTAGGGCTTCTGAGACCAGTAGGATCCCTCTTTGGACAGTGTGACCTGCTGGGGCAGAAACTGTCACACTCAAGCTCTTATCCTCTGACATTGCTCCAGAATTAAGGCAGCTCACTGTTTGTTGAGCTCTCTGCTTATTGAGAACACTGGGG